TCTCGGGAAGAGGGGTGCAGGGCCCTAACTCCCCCACAATCCGCAACAAGGGGGGGCCCCACTCACCCAAGTCAGGCACTGGGGCCCCCCAGCCAATGCCCCTCATTCCACCCTGCACGCCCCCACTGCTCTCTGGGGGGGGGGGTCTCCCACACTCAAGGCCTCCTCTCAGGGCCCCTGTGCCGCTAGCCGGGGGGCTGGAGGAGATGCTGGCCCAGAGCCGCTCAGCTGCCACCTCCAGACATGCAGCCCCATCGCATCACAGCCGGGGGCCAGCCCAGCACCCCACCCCCGGGGCACTGACCCCCCCCGCTGGGCCAGGCACCGGCCAGCTCCCTGCTCCTGCTGCAGACCCAGCTGGGGTTCCCCTCCCACTCCCCATGGGCTGCAGAACCAGCCCAGCGGGCAGGGCACGCTCAGGAAACAGCTGGCACCTGTGAGCCCGGCCATCTCTCGCCAATGGGCTCCCGGCAGCTCACCGGGCCTGGCCCAGAGGCCTGCAGGCCAGACGCCACTAACCCTTTCAGCGCCGCTCTACACCACTGTGCCCCGCCTCGGGGCGGGCCCGAACCTGCAGTCAGGCTCATCTCTGCAGCAGCGGGAGGGCAAAAGGCAGGGCTGCCCCTGGAGCAGGGCTCGCTGGGCCCGCCAGTGGGGGTGTTGCTGGGGCCTCCTCCATGTCGGGGCCAGCCTCTGCAGGGAGTGGGGCTCCCCCACCCCAGGGTTAGACCCCCTCTCCTGTGCCTCCTATGGCCTGGCACCCCACACCGTCCCCAGCCTGGCTCCTGGCACGGCCGTCACATGAGCTCCCGTCCTCTCCGCCGCCCAGCTGCCCCTTGACCCAGCAAACCCAACTGATCATCTCCTCAGCTTGGCAGAGCCTTTCATGCACGGCCGGCTCGGTGACAGGGCTCCCCGGGGACGCCGCTGGGCTTTCAGTGGGGGGGTGGAGGGGCAGCGGGGGATGGGAACGGAGCTGCCCACAGAGCGGGAGCCTTGTGCTAGTGGGCACAGCGGGCGCTGGCAGCCCTCCCTGCTGCCCCCCCAGAAGGGAACGTGGGGGAGAGATGGGGATATGTGCAGGAGGAGCCACTGGCTGTCCCCACGCTCCAGGCCTGGGGCACGTGCTGAGCTCCTAGCCAGTCCCAGCGGCTGGGCCCATGGTGCAGAGCCGGGCGCCCGCCACTCGCCCTCAGAGCAGGAGGGGGGGAACACGTGGCCTGAGGTCTGGCTGGGCGTGACGTGGTGTGTACCGCGGCTGGAGGTAACACGCCAGGGGCACGGGAGGGCAGGGAAGCGCATGCTGGGCACACAGGGAGGTGAGCTGCTGTGCAGCAGTGCTGGGGTGACCCGGGCAGAAATGGGGGATGGGACACAGAGGCTGAGTGCTCAGGGCTGCCCTGGGGGCACCCGTCCCAGCCGTCCCCACGGCAGGTGGCCAGTGGGTGGGCATTGCCACGCACCCAGTGCCCAGCGAGGCAGCAAAGAGGCACCACGGTGTCAATTTGCAAATTGCATTGGTCACAAATAAAGGCCGGTGGATTTGCTGGGGAGGCCGGGGGCAGTTACAGCCTGTATTGGCCCAGCCGCTGTAGGAGGCAGGGCTGAGTGCGTGGGCTCCTCCGAGGTCTGAACAGACTCACCAGCTTGTCTCATCAGCAGAAGTTAGGCCAATAAATGCTATGAACCCTTCCACCTCTCTCCTGTCCTGGGCCCAGCACAGCTCCACGCCCTCCCCAGCTTGCTACCTAACAGGGGACATCAGCTCACTGCTTGGGCCAAGGCTGCCCCTGGTGTGTGTGTGTGTGTGTGGGGAGCCCTGCCACCAGGGTGCTGGTTCAAATCCTGCCCCGCAGCCCACCTCCCAGGGTGGGGGGCGAGAACAGGCCCAGCTGGGCAGCTGCCCCCTGGATGGTGCTGCTGGCACGGCCCCGGGGCATTCGCAGGGAGCAGCAGCACCTCCCTGCCTGGGCAAGGTGCCCTGTCCTCAGTCCTCCCAGCCCTGCTGTGGGGATTTCCCTGCTACCTCCCCGCACCCCCAAGTGCAGCAGAGAGCCCCCAGGGCCCAGGCAGGGTCACTCACCCCATGTCCTACGGGCCTGGAGCCTCTCCCGACTTGCACCAGCACAGGCTGCAGCTGCCCTGGGGCTGATCAGGTCCCAGCTCAAGGCCAGGCCCTGGGGGCTCAAATCTCACCCAGTGCTGGGCTGCCTGCAGTGAGCTGTGTCCTGGGCTCAAAGCGCTCGGTCCTGGAGGCAGCAGGGGCAGAGCTGGAGGGATGTGCATGGGGCCGGGTTGTAGCCCGTCGGCCAGGCCTGGTGCTGTGCAGCCCAGGGCACTGGGGTCTCGCCCTGGCTCATCTGCATGGGGCTTCCCCCACAAAGAACAACCAGCACCAATGGGCGAATGGCTGGCCCTGCCTCTGAATTCCCAGGCCAGGGCCTCTCACCAGCCAGTTCCTTGGGCAGCTCTCTGCCCTCCCCCACCTGCCCCATGGGCGTGGCTCTCAGACCCCAGTAGGGCTTACACCCCCCTGGAGCACTGAGACACCGGGGGCCCCACAGATGGGGTAACGGCTGGGAGCAGCCCCCTCCAGAGCAACAGACAGGCCTGCTGGGGCTGCTGCCCCAAACGCCATCTCTGGGTCACCCAGCTAAGCCCCTCTCTGGGCTCTCCCGGCAGGTGGACGTCGAGCAGCTGGACCCGCGGGGCCGCACGCCCCTGCATCTCGCCACCACGCTGGGCCACCTGGACTGTGCCAGGGTCCTGCTCCAGCATGGAGCCGACGTGGGCAAGGAGAACCGCAGCGGCTGGACAGGTGGGCGGGCGGCTCCGGGACGCCAGGGGGAGGCTGACAGCCAGTGCCCGCAGCAGCCCCACCTCTCCTGCGCCGGGGGCTGGCACCTGGGGACGCTGCCATTTCTAGGCACCAGAGCCAGTTCTCTGCAGGGGCTGGCACTTAACGGGCAACAGATCTGAGTGAGACCAGCTCCACTGCACGGGGGTGGGGGTGTGACAGAGCAACCGAGCGCCCGGTGTGAGCTCATGGAGGTCACTGTGCAGTGCAGTGCGGGAAGGGGGGGGGCTGAAGAGCATGAGCACGTGGGCACCCTGCCCCTAGCCAGCTCCACTGAGCCCCTAGCCCAGCCTGCCCCCCCAGCTCTGCCAGTGCCCCTCACTCCCGACCCGCAGCCCCTGCTAGCCCAGCCCTGCCCACACAGCCCTGCCGGTGCCCCTCACTCCCAACCTGCAGCCCCTGCTACCCCAGCCTTGCCCCCCCAGCTCTGCCAGTGCCCCTCACTCCCAACCTGCAGCCTCCTTCCAGCCCAGCCCAGCCCCCCAATCCCAACCTAAGTTCCCTGTAAGCTGCACGGCCACGCAGCAGGCTATCAAGGGCCATGCATGCGGGGAGAGGCGCCCTGACCCAGCCCAGTCCTGCTAGTCCTCTCTTCCCACCGCAGCCCCAGGGCAGTCTGCACCCCAAACCCCTCATCCCCTGTCCCACCCCAGAGCCCAGAGCCCTCATCCCCCAACCCTCTGCCCCAGCCCTGAGCCCCCTCCCACACCATGAACCCCTCATCCCCCACCCCACCCCAGCCGGAGCCCTCATCCACCATTCCCCAACCCTCTGCCCCAGCCCTGAGCCCCCTCCCAACTCCGAACCCCTCAGCCCCACCCCTGCCACACAGCACCTCCATATTGGTGCACAGAACAAAATTCATTCTGCACATGGATGTAAAAAATTAGAGGGAACATTGATCCCAACCCACAGCCCCTGCTAGCCCAGCCCTGGGCTCCCGCCTGCCCCCCTTCCACAGCTCTGCTGGTGCCCCCCAGTCCCAGCCCACAGCCCCTCTGCCGGAGCCCCTCAGTACCATCCCCCCCCACCAGCAGACATTGTGGAGGTGCTGTATAGGCCTACGGTGCAAGGGGGTGTCCGTTCCCAGCACCACATGCAGGTAGCCAGCCTGTGCTCCTGCAGTGGCTCGGGACAGGTGTGAGGGGCAGCCCCAGGGGGTCCCTAATGGCTGATGCTGACGCCCCCTGGCTGAAGCAAACCCACGGGCCTCACAGAGCTGCAGGAGTCGAGCTCCACCTGGGGGCACGGCCAGAGGACCAGGCCAGGCTCCTCCCTGCTCTGGAACAGGGTGCCCTGCTCAGGTGCTGCCCTCCCCAGTGCAGGCTAGGGCAGGGCTGGCTCTCCTGGTCCTGTGGGCGGAGGGGACACTGCCTGAAGCCCCCTCTGTCCCCCCAGTGCTCCAAGAGGCGGTGAGCACCCGCGACCTGGAGCTGGTGCAGCTGGTCCTGCGGTACCGTGACTATCAGCGAGCTGTCAAGCGTCTGGCTGGGATCCCCATCCTGCTGGAGAAGCTGCGCAAGGTACGGCCTGCCCGTCCCCCCGAACACTTCCCCCCCAGGCTACTGCAGGGAGCCAGTGCTTCCCGGGCCATCGGCCCCCTGCCCAGCATGGCTCCATGCGCCCTCACCAGCCCCACGGAGGGGGGAGCTGGCAGGTTTTGCACACGGTCACACCAAGGACTCCTGGCTCCCTGCCCCTGCAGCTGCTGGGCATGAGGGGACCCCGCGGGTGTCCTGGGCACCCCTCAACCCCGGCCTCTCTCCTCTCCCCAGGCCCAGGATTTCTATGTGGAGATGAAATGGGAATTCACCAGCTGGGGTAAGTTCTGGGGCCACTGGGGGGGGGCTGGGCCCAGGACAAGCGGCAGAGCCCTATTGCTTCCCCACCCTCCCCATGCCCACGGACGCCCTCGCATCCCCCCGGTGCTCCCCCACACCTGTGACAGCCTCAGGCAGCCCTTGGGTCCAAGTGCCGCCTGCCAGACCCCCTCCCTGCTGGGGACCCCACTGCCTCTCCCCTCACCTGCCGGGCCCCCCACCCTGCTCCCCCCAGTGGAGAGCTCTGGCCATGCGGCGGTTTGGGGAATTCTAGCTGCCGGGGTTCTGGAGTGACGGGGCCCAGGCCGGCGGGACGCCCCTGCCCGGCACCCCACAAGGCAGCGTGACAGGGGTTGGGAGCTGCCCCTAACGTTTCCCTCCCCACAGTGCCCTTGGTCTCCAAGATCTGCCCCAGCGACACCTACAAGGTGTGGAAGAGCGGCCAGAACCTGCGTGTGGACACGACTCTGCTCGGCTTCGACCACATGACCTGGCAGCGGGGAAACCGCAGCTTCGTCTTCCGGGGACAAGGTGAGCGCGGCCCCTGGCACAGCGTAGTGCCCGAAGGCTCCGGGGGCAGCCCGCGGGCGCTGGCTGGTGATAATGCACACGCCCATCTCACTGCAGCAGGAGGCCACACCGGTCCCTCAGTGCACTCTGCCCCCCAACCTCCCAGCAGCCAGACAGGTGCTGCCTCAGTCGCTGGGGTGACCCTGTGCTGGAGGTGGGGGGAGCCCACTGGCTGAGACGCACTCAGGAAAGGCCCAGCTTAGCCCTGTGGCCTGGGGCTGGTGCTCCATGCCCTGGCTGTGCCCGCCAGCTGATGCCCACTCCCCTGGCACGAGGGTAGCAGAGGTCTCGTCCTGCTGGCTGGGCGGGAGGAGTGAAAAGCCCCTGTCTGCACACCAGGTGGCATGAGGGAAGACGCCTACCCCGCCGGCTGGCACCCTGGAGCTGGCAAGCGGACGCAGCAGCGTGGAGGGGGTACGTGGGGTTCATGCAGACAGAGGAGCAGTTATGGATGGGGAAGGGGCTGATGTCCAGGGAGGGGCAGCAGCCCACCTGGCCCCTGCTCACTGCTAGGGCAGGGGGGCTCTGCCACAGCTGGAGATCCAGCACTGGCGAAGTCAGGCAGACTCCTGGCACATGCACGCCCGGCCCTACTGCACACGCCCCCATCCTGCACCCCCTGCGCCGTTCTGGAGCCCCCCACCCAGAGCTGCAGCCCCCCTGGCGCGGGGTGCTGATGTGGCCTCCTCCCGGCAGACACCAGTGCGGTGGTGCTGGAGATCGACCACGACCGGCAGGTGGTGTACTCCGAGACGCTGGCGCTGGCCAGCCACGACCACGAGGGGCTGCTGGCTGCCGTGCAGCCCACCGAGGAGCAGGTGATGGGCCGCCTCACCGCGCCTGTTGTCACCACCCAGCTGGACACCAAGAACATCGCCTTCGAGAGGTGGGCACACGCTGCGGGGGGAAGGCTCGGGGAGGGGGCTGGGAGGCAGGCGACGTCTGCTGCAGCCCAGGAGTGCCTCGGGTCCCTGGTTTTGGGCAGGGCCTGGCAGATGGGTGCTGGCAGCAGGGCGGGGGGCAGCACGGGGTGGGGTGGGCTGAGCGTAAATCCCCCAGGGGTCTGTCGCTCACGGCTGCCTTGTCGCCATCAGGAACAAGACGGGGCTCCTGGGCTGGCGGAGCGAGAAGACGGAGGTGGTGAATGGGTACGAGGCCAAGGTGAGGGGCAGGCGGGGGCAGGGCGGCCTTGCCAATGGCCCAGGGGAGAGGGGTGCAGGGCAGTGGCTGCCAGGGGGAGACAAGTGCACCCTGCCAAGCTCTGGGAGGGGCAGCAGGAGCCAGGACAGGACCTGACGCAGCACAAAGGCAGGGTCACATCTTGGCCCCCTCGCCAGCAGGGCTTGCCTGACCCCAGCCAAGGCTCTTTGGTGGGCGCAGAGCCACGATGCCCCAGGCTTCGCAGGGCCATGGCAGTGGGCCCTTAGCTCCTACCCAGGGCCCAGGTGCCGGGGGAGCAGCCTGAGGAGGCCGGGCATAGAGCCTGGCGGGGGCACACCTCTGGGGGGCAGAGAGAGCTGCAGCCTCTGGCCTTCGGGCTCCTCCCCGCAGGTGTACAGCGCGTCCAACGTGGAGCTGATCACGCGGACGCGGACGGAGCACCTCTCCGACCAGCACAAGGGCAAGAGCAAAGGTAAGGGCCGGCTCTGGGGGATGGGGGGTTGCCCAGGCCCCCGGGGATGGGCCCTGTTTCTGCCCCTGCCGCCCCATAGCTTTCCCGTCTGCCTTTGGCTGGGGGAGGCAGGCGGGTCCCGGCCCTGCCCCAGCCGGGGAGCTGATGGTGTCACAGCCCCGTGCTTTGTCCCCGTCTCTCTGCAGGCAGCAAGACCCCACTGCAGTCCTTCCTGGGGATCGCCGAGCAGCACGTGGGGCCCAGCAATGGGGTGAGTAGCGGGCTCAGCTGGGGGGCGACTTTGGGACCAGCATGGCCCTGGCAGCTGGGGGAGGCGAGGGGCCCGTGTTTGGGCGGAGCAGCCCCAGCCTGGCCAGGCTAATGAGGCCTTGCTCGTCCCGGCGCAGACGCTGATCACGCAGACCCGGAGCCACACCAACCCCACGGCCATCACCCCCGAGGAGTACTTCAACCCCAGCTTCGAGCTGGGCAGCAGAGACATGGGGCGCCCCATGGAGCTCACCACCAAGACGCAGAAGTAAGGAGGGGCCGGAGTCCCTGCCAGGAAACCTGGGGCAGAGGGGGACCCCTGGCAAGAGAGGGAAGGCTGGGGATAGGTGGAACTCACTGCTGCAGGGAATTGGGGCAGGGAGAGCAGGAGCGGAGGCTGATCTGGGAGAGAATGGCAGGGCAGGGGCATGGCCAGAGCCCACTGAATCCGCCTGGGGTCTGCCTGGGGCTCCCCACATGGGACCACAGTGCAGGCTGCCCAGACAGTGGGGAGTGTGGGTTGTCCCACGGGGCAGCAGGCAGCACCTGCCCAGGGAGCTCTCGTGGGCAGCCTGTGCTCCGCAAGGCTCTGTGCTGGGGGACCCTCTGCCTGGGCAGTGCCAGGCCGGGGCCCGTGCTCTGCTGGGCATCTCTCCCTGCTGCAGGTTCAAGGCCAAGCTGTGGCTGTGTGAGGATCACCCACTGTCCCTGGGCGAGCAGGTGGCGCCGATCATCGACCTCATGGCCATAAGCAACGCGCTCTTCGCCAAGCTCCGGGATTTCATCACGCTCCGTCTGCCGCCCGGCTTCCCCGTCAAAATAGGTGAGGCCGCGCTGCCCCTGCCCTGCCCTGATCCGGCCGCTGAGGGCTCCGTGCACCAGGCCCTGGCGTGCCACATGGACGCCAGCTTCTGGCCGGTGCCCTCACCCCATGACTGGGGGCTCCCTGGGGCCTGTGCCCCCAGTGCCCAGGTATGACTCCGGCTGCCGCCCGCGGGAGGTGTGTCGGCTGCCAGCGCCCGAGGGGCCCGCAGTCTGCGCGTGCCAGCCCCAGAGCCCCACAGACGGGGGGGGTGCATGCGCTGCTCTCCTGGCTCTGGTGCTGCCAGTCCCGGGCCATGCAGGCATCACCTCCCTCACTGCGCCCGCTCTCTCCCCCCTCCCAGAAATCCCCATCTTCCACATCCTCAACGCCCGCATCACCTTCGGGAACCTCAATGGCTGCGACGAGCCCGTCAGCTCCGTGCGCCGCAGCTCCGGGAGCGAGGCCCCTTCGCCCAGCAGCGACTCCTCCAGCGTCAGCAGCTCCAGCTCCCTGGGTACGCGGCCCCTGAGGGGACGGGCGAGGCGCCGGGGTCTGCGGTCAGCCCCACATCCTGAGCTACCTGCGCACCAGCCCCCTGGTCCCCCTCCCCCCCACGCCCATCACCCCCTCGGGCTTGATAAGGGAGGGGGAGTTTGGCTTGTGCATGTTAGCAGCCCCCCCTTGGACCTGGCTTGCTCCCCCCTGTTGGCGACCAGGCCAGTAGCAGCTGCGTCCAGTGCTGCTGCCACCTGCCCTCCCCTTCAATAGTGAGGCAGGGCTATGGGGCCGGCAGCTCCCAGCATGCATTGCGGCACAAGCCAGCAGAGTGCATGCTGGGGGGTGTAGTCCGCAGGGGGTGCGTGCGGCGCCGTGTCCCCGCCCCCAGTGACAGGCGCGTCTGGTCCCCGCAGCCTCCTGCCGGGCCGGCGAGATGGACCCGTCCCTGTTTGAGGCCCCGCCTGGGTACAGCGTGCTGGGCAGCCAGCGGGACGCCATGCGCGAGGAGGATGACGACCTGCTGCAGTTCGCCATCCAACAGAGCCTGCTGGAGGCCGGCACGGAGTACGACCAGGTGGGCTCCGCGCCCCCTCTGCCGCGTGGCCAGCAGGTGTCACGGGCCGGGAACAGCCTCATCCCAGCGCGGGGCTCCTGGGGCCGCCCCTTCTGCCGGGCACCGGCGGGGTGCAGGGCGCGGTGAGCACCCAGCCTCGGGGGCTGCCGGGGACCAGCTCTCGTGTTACGTCTGTCCCAGCCCCACGGCACCAGAAGGGCAGCACAGACACCCTGAGCCCCATACGCAGCTCTGCAGCCAGCCTGGCACGGGCAGCCCCGCACTGCCGCCCTCCCCTGCCCCGCCTTGGCGCTGGCACACACGTCGGGCAGCAGCGCCAGCCAGGAGAACGGTGCTCCCAGGGATGCTGCAGCTGGGCTGGTGGTGGGGTCCTGTGCTCACTGGGCTAAACGTCTCCTCTGCTGTCTCTGGCCACGCCCTGGGCCTTGGCCTTACCCCCGGCCAGGCCCCAGGAAGCGCCATCCAGGCTGGGGAGTGGGGGGAGGTGGCAGGCGAAGGGTTAATGCGCTGCGGCTCCACCTGCAGGTGACCATCTGGGAAGCTTTGACCAACAGCAAGCCGGGCACACACCCCATGTCCCAGGAGGGCCGGCGAGGAGACAGGTTGGTAAGGTCTGGCTAGTCCTAGCCAGGGTCAGGGCTCACGGGGCCTGGCATTGGAGTGGGGGGGGTCGGTCTGTCCCGCCCAGCCCAGTGACCCCATGCAGCATAGCCCCATGGCTTTGTTCCACAGCTGTGTGCAGCCCCACCTGGAGAGGGGACCCTCCCCACGACGTGCCCAGGCTGTGCCTCAGTTTCCCCAGCTGTAACGAAGCTGGCCACCCTCCAGCTCCTTGGGGACGCCGCCAGGGTCATCACACCGGGGCCTTCTGCTCACCAGAGTCCGGTGTGACCGACAGGGCTCTAGCATCCCAGCTGGGGCGGAGAGCTGCTGGGCCCGTCTGCCCCGTATCCAGTCACTTAGCCCCACCGTATCCAGGCGCTGGGAGCGGCACCGCACCCCACAGCAGCCTCGGCTCAGCATTGGCACCCGCGTTCCCAGGGGTCCCGCTCACCTTTGCTCTGTTCCCCTGCCCCCTGTAGGACACCCCAGCACACGCCTCCCCCCCGGCAGGCCAGCTCCCAGCAGCAGGGCGGGGGCAGCGGCGGGCCCAGCCCCCTGTTCCGCAGCTACGACGAGCAGCTGCGCCTGGCCATGGAGCTGTCGGCGCGGGAGCAGGCAGAGGCGGAACGGCGCACGCGGCAGGAGGAGGAGGAGCTGCGGCGCATCCTGCAGCTCTCGCTGACCGAGCAGTAGCCCAGCGCCTGCGACGGGCTCTGCAGCTGCTGCCCAGCTTGCGCAGGGCTGGGGTGGTGCGGCCGCCGCTGGGCAGTGGCGTTCCCTGAGCCAGCAGTGCCCACGTGAGCAGAGAGGTGCCAGCGCTGGCCCACCGCAGATGCCATCGCACCGAGCCAGTCAGAGACCATGCCAAGAACACTGCCAGGGGGCGCGGGGGCTGGCCCGCCAGGAGGAGACTGCTGCATCAGAGGGAGCCCCCGTGATGCCGCTCCCAGGGCCCTGCGCCCCAGAGGGAGCGGTCTGGCTCCCCGTGCCCCCCAGACGCCTCGTTAATCCTCGCCTGCCCTGGGCAGCCCCAGTGACCCGGGCCTGGCCAGCGAGGGGCAGAGATTGCGGGCCCAGGGCAAGGTTTGGCGAATGGGGAGAGGGCACCACGCCCATAACCCTGCAGGGGAGGACAGGATGGGGCTGCGGTGGCAGGAGGTGACCTGCTGCGAGGCAGGGGGCACCCCCAGACCCATTACTCACGCCCCAGTCCCAATGGGCGGGTACTCACCAGCTACAACCAGCTGCAAGGGCTGGCAGGGCATGGATGGAGAGCCCAGGGTTGGGCTAGCAGGAGGCTGCGGGTCGGGAGTGAGGGGCACCAGCAGAGCTGGGGAGGAGGCGGTCAGGGTGTCAGGAAGGGAGGGTGCTGGCTAAGCGGTGTGGGGCCCAGAGGCAGGGCTGGATGGGGTTAGCTGCGCAGGGAAGCAGGAACGCTGCTGCGAGGTGATACAGGGTTCTGCTCCCCCCCCCTTCATGCTGCCTGGACTGGGCCCCTTACCCTGCCCCTCCCACCCCCAGCAGCTGGGCCTGCCTGAGCCTTCTGCCCCCTGTGACCCACAGCAAGGGCAGGGCCCAGCTGCACACACACTCCCCCCCACTGTGGGCTCACGGATGCCCCCAACTCTTCAGCGACCCAGGGACACTGCCCAGTTGCATGGGGTTCTGGCGCTGCCAGCAGCCGGCCCTGACACCTTCTCTCCCACGAGATGCCGTGAGGCTGCTTGTGCCAGGCCCTGTCGTCCTGCCTCGCCCCAGGGCTGCCCCCAGGAGCTGGGGAACGAGCGGTGCCAGCCCTGCCTGCTGGGCTGTGGCAGAGCCAGAACTGGGGGAGGGCTGGCAGGCCGGGTGAGACTAGCAGCCAGGCAGCCCATAGGGAGGTGGGCACAGGGCAGGTAACCGCTGCCCTCCCTCCGGCTGCAGGCACCAGCCCCGTCTGCTGCCCTCTCAGCACGCGCCAGTCCCGGGCTCCGTGGCACCGATACAGCATCAAGTGCACTTAGCCAGGAGCCAGGCCAGGCTGCCGGCCGCTTTGCCACTCACCACGGAGCCCCACCGGCCCGTCCCTGCGATCGTGCCCTCCCCAGCCCCCTGCCAGCACACGTAGGATGGGCACTTACCAAAGCCTGCTAGTGGGGGGAGGGGGCAGGGCAGGTGCTGCAGCCCCCACCCCCTGCCCAGGAGCCATTCCCCCAAGGAAGCACTGAGAGCCCAGCACTGCTGCCCCCCAGCCCCAGGGCCCCCCCACGCACCAGGATCCAGCCGACTCCTGAACTATGGGGAGTGGGGGCAGGTTTCTCTGCCTGGGCAGCACCTGCCCACACCACCATTAGGACGGGGAGCCCCACTGCCCCCTGCTGGCCCTCCAGCTCTCAAGTGATCCCGGGGTGGCGGGGGGGGCGCTGAGCAGGGAACACCCCCTGAGCCAGGCCCAGTCCCCGCCATGTCCCTCCCAGCCTGCACACTGCAGCCCCTGGCCTGGGCTGAGGGGTTCCCTTGTGCCCCTGCTGCTCCCCGCAGCGCACATGCCTCACACAGGGCCCTAAACCGCAGCGAAACCTTACGTCAAATGGTGCTAACTCCCCGCATCCCCCCGCCCCTGAGAACACAGCAGCCCTGTGCTGAGACGGGGCCCGGGCCCTCCCCGCGCCAGGCCGGGGGCACAGGGCTTTGCTCGGTCTGACAGACTTCCAGGCACAACCAGAGGGGTGTCCTGGGGTACACGGCTGCAGGCCATCCCCCACCAGAGGGGACATGGCGCCCGGCGCCGAGCCATCACTCCTGAAGCCGTGACGGGGCAGGGACCTTTTCTTAATCGCCCACGACACCCCCCCCACACCAACTGTACAGCAGGGGCTGGGGCACGTGGGCATGGCCAGGCGGGGGGGCCAGGCCCACAGGCTGCGATCACGGTGGACACCAATAAAAGTCTTTAACGTTTGTCTCTTAGCAGATGCTGGCTCCACGGGAAGGTGGGGAGGGGCCCCAAGCCTGGCTCAGGCCCTGGCGATAGGACACAGCAGGGCACGCGCGTTTGGCTTGATTGAAGGCAGCCAAGCAGGGACCAGAGCCTTGGCTACCCCCCGGCCCCCGAGACGCCTGGTGCAGTGGCTGCTGGCAGTGCAGCACCAGCCACTCAGGAGGTAGGGGGCACGGAGCGCTGGGGTTACCCCAAATCCCCCTGCTAAGTCCCATTTCCCCCACACACCAAGGTGCCCTCCAGCCCCACAGGCAGATTGCCATGGCACAAAGGGGGTTGGGGTGGTGCCAAAGTGCCCTCCTTTGGTAGGCCCTGGGGGCTGGGAGAGCTGCAGCCCTGGGGGGTGATGTGCCCCCTCTGGCTGGTGCACAGCAAGAGCAGCCCCCCTTGCTCTGCTGGAGGGGGAGCATGGTCTGCGCCTCCTTCTCACTAGCCGAGAGGTCGTGCGGGCTAGTGGTTACAGCACAACACTGCTGGGCTCCAGGGGCGGCCCGTGAGCTGGGGTGGGGACACCCAGGGGGCTGGCTGCATGCACGTCCCTGTCTGGGCAGCCATCTCCCCACTGCAGGCAGCTGGGGGGTGCTGGACTAGATCCTGCCCCGGGAGTCCCCCAGTAGCCAGCTGGGCACACAGAGCAGGGCTCAGTGTTGGTGGGGTGATTGGCACGGTGCTGGGGTCACCCCCCCCCCAATGCTCACACCCCCCACACCAGGGTCGGAGAATGCAGCCGTTTATTGCTCAGGGACGGGTACAACACCAGGGGGCCAGGAACCTGCAGGCGACACCCAGCCCCCAGCGCCACCACAAGCCTGGTTCTGTAGCAGGCCTGCCCCGGCTGCGGGGAGAGCGGAGTCCCCAGGCCAGGCTGCTGCTCAGGGGCACCCGGGCTGACCCACACACACATCACTGGCAGGGCTGGGCAGAGTGCAGCCCCCCAGGTGCCCTGCATGGATGGGGCAGGCTGGGCTGGGGGGGCTTTCTGCCCCTTCTGCTTTGAGGGCTCCCAGCTCAGTGCCTGCCTGTCCATGGCTGGGGGGGGGGGGGGGGATAGCAGGCCTGAGCGATGCCCTCTCAAGAGCCCAGCCTTGGCCTGGCACCCCAACCATTCAGTGTGCGCTGGGAGGGGCTGGCTGCCAGGGCTCCCAGCCCTTCCCCAGGACCCTCATGCCAACTGCCTGGACATAGCCCTCGCCCAGCCTGGGCTCCTGTCCCATGCGGTGCCCATGGCCTGGCGTGAGTCCCCCCCTGCACACGGCCCGGGCAGTGGGGCCGAGTGGGAAGATGGGGGCTCACCGCAAACAGGCCTCTGGGCTACCGACCAGCTCCCCAGGCCAATCAATGCCAGGGGGCCCAGGGCCTGGGGGTGGAGGACCAGGCAGAAGAGGGCAGGGCAGGGGGCCGAGGGGATGGGGGCCTGGCCGGGGAGGGCCAGGCAGGGGGCCTGGTGGAGGAGGGGCAGGCAGGGCCCAGCAAGCCCCCACAGTGCAAGGGATGAGGGTTTGCCCATAAATACGTTGCCTCAGAAGGCTGGGCTCTGCTGTGCTAGCCACAGACCCCCAGCTCTCTGACCCACGTAACCACCCACTGCCATCACCTGGACCTGGCTGGGGACGGGGCAGAGACAGCAGCAGCTCAAGGCGGTCAGCCAGGGACCTTCCAAACAAATACCTCCCCCTCCCCGCAGCATGGGGTCCCTCCCCTCTGCCCCCCACCCCCACCCCAGCCCAGCAGGAGGCTTCCCCACACTCAGCCCCAGGGCGGGGATGGAGGGGGGGGGTCGGCGTCTCTCGCCAGCAGGGCCCCAGGGAGCAGCCCCTAGAGCTGAGCAATCCACCACCACCGCCAGCTGGGCTCCTCTGCAGACTGCCCATGGCGTCAGGGGCTGAGGCCTGCCCGCAGCTCCGGGGCCAGGGTCAAAAACACGTCTCCCAGCTCCTCCCCTGGGGGGTTGGATTTAATCCTTTCAATCCGCCGGGAGTGGTGGCGTGGGGGCCGCTAGGCCGTGCCGTTGGTGAATTTGCAGAGTTTGTTCTCCAGGTCAGAGATGCGCTTCTCCTGCGCTTGGACGGTCTGTCGCAGGGATCGGATCTCCTCCAGCAGATCCTCCAGGCCGGGCCGCTGCAAGGGGGCGAGCAGGGGCAAGGGTCAGAGGTGGGGCTGCCTGACGGGAGTTGTGGGGGGCCCCTGGTCCTTCTCTCCCACCCCCAGCCAGTTACCACGGTCTCATCCTAAGCTGAGCTGTGCAAGTGGGGAGCGCAGCCCCTTCCACAGGGCTCCGGAGCCGCCCGAGCCCCAAGAGGAGCTGCCAGACCCATGGCAGGGCCCCCATGGCTCCCCACTCTGGCAGGGAGGGGCCCAGAGGGGCTGTCAGCAGGCTAAAGAAACCCCTGCCCTTCGCATCCCACGCAGCGCAGAAGAGACGCTCCTGGCCCTGCACCAGCTGGGGTGCAACTGCCCTGCTTGGGCCCTAGCGGGGCAGGAACCTGAGCCCCAGCCTTCAGCAGGGACTCCACCAGCCAGCAGCTATAGGGGACTCTTATCCACCTGTGGGGTTCAGATACTAGTGGGAAGGCAAGGCCCCGAGCTGTCCTACTGTGCCTGGCTCAGCAGCAGCAGAGCGCAAGGGCCCGGGGACAGGCCTGCCCAGCCCCTCCCACCCCTGCCAAGAGGGGTCAGAAAGAACCGTCCCCTGGGGAAGGCTGGCGGCTGGGGGACCGGGTGAGCCTGGCGGCTGCTTGGCAAGCCCTGAGGCGGGGGCGCCCGGGCACTCACCGAGAAATTGGCATCACACGTGGAGTGGCTGCGGCGCGGCCCCACGGGAGGTTTGTTGTCCAGGATGTTCTTCCTGGTGACCTTGAGCTCGCGGTTCTTGACGGGCACGTAGCCGTCCCGCAGCGAGACGAGGACGGGCTCCGCGTCCTGCCCCGCCAGCCACTCGGCCGCCTCGAGAGCCGGCTCGGGGCCGGGCGTGTCGGGGTACAGGTCGTCCTGGAACAGGTCTGACTGCGGGGAGCCGAGGGGCCCGGTGAGGGGCTGCGGCACGGAGCGCCCAGGCCTTGGGCTGCCTCCCTGCACCCTGTCGACCCCGCCCCATAGCCTAGTGCCCCGTCTACCCTGCCCCTCCTGTGCCCCATTGACCCCGCCCCATAGCCTAGCGCTCTGCTTACCCCACCCCTCCCTGTGCCCCATAGCCTAGTGCCCCGTCTACCCTGCCCCTCCCGTGCCCCATCGACCCCGCCCCATAGCCTAGTGCCCCGTCTACCCTGCCCCCCGTGCCCCATAGCCTAGCACCGCATCTACCCCACCTCTCCTGCGCCCCATCGACCCCGCCCCATTGCCTAGTGCCCCGTCTACCCTGCCCCTCCCGCGCCCCATCGACCCTGCCCCACAGCATAGTGCCCCGTCTACCCCGCCCCTCCCTGTGCCCCATAGCCAAGCTCCCCGTCTACCTTGCCCCTCCCCATAGCCTAGCGCCACGTCTACCCTGCCCCTCCCTGCACTCCATCTACCCCCCCCACAGCCTAGGCCCCTCTACCTTCCCCCTCCCCCAGTCCAGGGCTCCAGGAGCCCCATGTCCCGGGAGCCCTGGCCACCAGGGCGCAGCCCCCAGGGAAGCAGGGGCTAGGGCCAGGGGGTTCTCCCAGGACTCACTTTCCGCGGCACTGTCATGACGATGGGCTCGCACTTCCGCTCATGCAGCTTGAAGAACCTGGATAAATGGGGCATGTGGTTACGGGCCTGGCCTGGAGCCCCCCCGACCTTCCCATGGCCCAGCCCCCAGTCCTCAAGTCTGTGCCATGCCCAGTCCCCACCCTGCCAGCAGGGCCCCTCGGGGTTATGGGCAGGGCATGGAGACACCCCCAGGGCTTAGAACTGACAGGCTGAGGGCCTCCAGGAGCTACCATGGGCCCGGTGGAGGGATTCGAGGACTTGTGGGGCAGTAGCTCCAGGGGTGTCTGGGCCCCTGGCAGCCCCACATACCATGGGGGTTAGCGTGAGCCGTGCCCGCCCCCACCCTCACCTGGCAATCTCACACTTGCTGACGTCCAGGCCCCGCTTTGGCATGAAGCCCATGCCGCGCTGCGGCTCCTTGCTGCTGTAGGTGCTCAGGTAGTGCACGTAGGGCGCCTCGGCCGTGATCTCGAAGTAGCGGATGCTGCTGTCGCCCTGTGGGTGGGCACAGGCAGGGGCATCAGCATCCCGCAGGGCACCGCTACTCCCCACAGCCCATGGGGAGGAAAAGGGACCCGATGGCGCCAGGGAGGGGTAATGCCCTGCATGCTGGCAGGGTACCGGGTGCGGGATCTGCCCAGGGTACCCGCCCCCAACCTCCCGGCCGCTCCGGGCACCGGGATCCTGCCCCAACCCCCAGCCACTCTGGGCACCGGGCTGTAAGGGCCCAGGGTGCCCTCTGGGCCGGCTGGTGCAACGTTACCTTGCCGCACAGGTAGACGATGCTGGAGTCAGGGTCGTAGAAGGGGAGCAGCACCCCATTGCTGGTGTCCATCTCCTGCAGCGCAATCGGCTCCTCAAAGTTCTCCTGCGGGGGAGGAGGGAGCACAGGTGAGGGGCAGCAGGGCGGCCCGAGCTGGTTAGCCACACACACACACACACACACACGTTAGTGACCCAGGCCCAGCCCCTTCGGGCCCCTGGCACCAAGCAAGGGACAGCTCTGGCTCTTGGCGGCTGGCCCGGTTCTCCCTTCATCTCCCCCCAGCCATGTACGCGAGGGCAGCCAGTGGGGCCAACCCGCTCTGCCCTCCCTGGCCTGCCTCTGCTATTCACCCTCCTGCCCCTCGGCCAGGCTCAGCCCTGCCCCACAGAGCGGTGTCCTGTTGCCCCCCACACAGCAGCAGGGGCTGCCTGGGCTGCCTGTGAGCATCCCCAGTGCCTCACAGGACAGGCCCTGCCCTCCCTCCCCACCCCAGAGCATCTGTGCCCCCTGACTCCCGGCCTGA